GTGCTAGGGTCTGGCAGCGGCTGGAAGGGGCCCACAAAGCGTTCGCCTGCGGGCATGGCGGTGAGGGGGTTGCGACAGGCCCGACTTTGGCGCACAACGCAGCCCTGCACACTCGGCCCCGGCACTGGCTTCAGCTGCACATGGCTGGGCAGCCTCCGCCGCTGCAATGCCGTGCCCTGCTGGAGCCTCCAACCCTGCCGGCTGACCGACCGCAGCTGCTGGGGCCCTCGGCCTGCTCCCCTCCAGCCCAGGGCCCCAGCTGCTGGGCCCCTCGGCCCTCGCCCCCCCAGCCCAGGGCCCCAGCGGCAGCTGCCTGCCCCTCACCTGTGATGAAGGGGTGTTGCGCCGCCTGGCGGGGGGTCCAGCGGGTGGAGGGGTTGACATCCAGCACGCCTGCAGAGGTTGAAGGATGGGAGGGAAGGAGGAAAGGCACGCAAGGCAAGGCAGCCGCTCAATCAGGGGCAGACAGGGTCGGAGGGCGGGTGGGCGGAGCGAGCGGGTTGCCCCAGTGCCATGCCCACAGCAGATTGGCAGGAGCGAGGCGGGCTGGTGCCTTGTTGCTCCAACCGAGCTGAGGCGCAGGCGCCGAGCAGCGCTGGCTGCGCCGTTGTCGCTGCTGCTGTCGCAGCGCTGCGGCGGCGGTGTGCTCCGTGGGTGACAGGGTGCCGTATGGCGTCCGCCTTGGGCCATGCCTGTAGCCAAACATGCTGTATGGCCTCCCGCCGCCGCTGCCGCCCCACCTAGGAGGAAGTCTGTGAAGGACTCGCGCAGCGCCCGCTCCCGGGCCACCTCTTCATCTGCAGCAGGCGCGGTGGAAGTGGGGGGGCGGGGCAGTCGCGAGAAGCCGGCCACGGGCGGCAACCCTCTGCTCCGTGCTGCTGCACGGAGCAGGCGGCGCGCTGCCTGCTCAGCAGCCTGTGCTGCCGCATGCCGACCGCAGCGGGGCTCCTGGCGGGTGCTGGCCACTGCCCGCGAGCGGCCCCACCTGACAGGCCGCTGCGGAAGGGGTAGGCGCCAATGATGTCGGCCAGCGCCGAGTGCTGCGGGCAGGCAGGCAGGGCAGCCGGCCAATGGGTTAACTTGGCAGGCAAACAGTCAGTAAGGCGAGGGAGGGGAGGCCTGCACCCCTGGCCCATGACCTCATACCAAATCACATGCCAGCGCCGAGGTGCGGCGCCTGCCAGGCGGTACACCAGGCGGCACACACCTGGAAGTACTGCT